GGACTATCATTTAATTTACGAATATAAATTAATAATTAATAACAAGTTTTAATGTTGTGTAAGGAACGAAAACTAAATACATGTCCAATATCTCATATGTTATAAGTATATATCGAAAAGTAAAAATCTATATAGAAAATCAGTAAAAATATAATAAAAAATTTCGTAACACTACGTTTATTTTTTAATTATTATATATGTATTTCATTTTCGTGTAAATAGATCGCATGTTTCAGATAAAAATAATTGGATATCACAATACCTGGGTACTTCGTTGGTTCTTTCAGTAGATGCTGATGATGTTTTCGCTTGATCATAGGAGATGGTGCTACGTCGACCAACAGAACCAGGAGCAGGTGAGGTGAGAGGCCGACCACCACCTACCCCTGCGTTCATTGTGTTGCTCTTGCCTACCCTTGCTTTACCACCAGGACTTGTACCGACGCCTAGAATGAACATTGTCACTGCAAGCCTCATTAGATATGGTTCAACACAAAACAAAAAGCAACATACTTTAAATTATAACAAACAAAAATATATTACAAAGATTATGAATTGCTATGTCTAACCTGCTTCCATATTAAGAAACAAACATAGAATAAATAAAGTAATATCACTGTCTCTTTCTTGAAAAATCAATACACGACAAATGATCAAATTTTAGGGATGTGCATAATATGCGGTAAAATTATAACAATGTGATTGCATGTTCAATCTTACAAACATATAAGAAACAGGTATGATTGACATTAAAACACGTATGATCAGAATCTTCGATGATATGATTATATAAATATAATAAATATGTTAAAATTTACGATTTATGAACAATATGGAATAGTACAAATAACACAAATATAGATAATATGGAATGGTACAGTTAAATTACAAATTGCAAATTAGCTATTAAACCGCTACAACCTTATCCAAAGCAATCTCCCTCATCCAAAAACTTTGCTCAAGCATCACAAAGGAGATATAGAACGACAAATAATCGAATATCTATTTATAAGATATTTCTATCATAAAGTATCATTCAAAAACAAAGTAACAACAACTCACTAGTATCTAATTGCCCAGGTGATTGACTATTTTTAGTTGCAGAGGGTCGGCTTGCAGAAACTCGAGCACTATTTTCCTTGATCGTAGCTGCATCCACAGTATTTTGTCGTTTAAAATTACTACCCCCGCTTCCAGTCACAGTTGTGCCAGTTACTGCAGTTGCATGATTGTGATTCGTTGCGTTACCTGGACTGGGTGCACCTCCTAATAAGGAAAAAAATTATACAATGAAATCTTTTATTTTAGACACAGTATTTGTACTGACAGATTTATCAACAAACAATCGCGTCAGTTTTTGTTACTATATCTCAACATTCGTCATATCACTTTTGTTACAAATTTAGTTTAACAATTAAACTATACACTAACTAGTAGCTACTATCTTTTTCCAGTACAAATAAATAATACAAAAATTGTCGCACAATTTCCAATCACAAGGAAATATAGATATCTCGTCTTACCCAAGTTTGATAAATGTCCTTATCCATGCTTGTTATTTGACAGTAAAGTTTAAATCGCCGTACTGCATAAGAGTTACGGTTAAAACAAACGGATAACACTTACGAAGAGTTTCACCACCAGACGAGGCCCGTCTACTGGGTTTTGGATTGCTAGCAGAAATACTTCTATGAACACCTCTGTGAGATGGACTCTGTACTGCGCCACCTGTTCCTCCACTGCTTCCTCCTCCACCACCTGAACTGACTTGAGGTGGAATGTTACGCAGCGATAATGAACTACCTGACCGTGATCCATCACTTTCAGGCTGTACAAATCAAAAATATTAGAATTTTGAGACGCTATCATATACTGTATATTAATCTTGATATATCGTATACTTACATCTGTTGTTTTTCTACCTAAGAGCAAGTATGTGGCGAATACATCGTCATATTTCGCTTGTCCTAAAGAATCCTCTATTTCGCTTCGAGTATATCCCATACTGGCTAAGGCCTCTGAAATAAAAATGCGTGGCGGCATAGTCACATCTATTAGAATTGGAACAATTTTCCAACACAACATTCATAATTAAAAAAAAAAAAAATATTTAAAAAATTGAATTTATTGTCTTAATAATATCTATGTTTTAACATTCATTAAAAATAAAATATAATTTTAGTTCAATTTCAATATTAGCATTAATTTAAAAAAATTTTTTTTTTTTTACCAACAATAAAATATATTTCCATGCAATAAAAAGATATTTTAAGAAGCAGATCACAACACATACAGATATAAATATATCAGACTAAATAAGAACTCGAAAAACAAGTTATAGTGTTTTTATGCTGTGCACAAAAAATATGCATTTCTTATTTTAATTTAATAAGAAATTATTTCAAATTGTGCATATTCTAAAAACTCTTTAAAATTATAATAGAAAATTGTGAGATAGTATATATTATTAAATAATAATGAAAGTCTGATATATTTTGATAATATATTAATAGTGATTATTGCACAATTATCTAACTAGAAGAAACATCCAATCATGTGAACATTCTTAGAGAAACTGTAAAAAAATTCAGATTAAAACTATAATATATTATATAATTTTTTTTGAAAACACGTATATATCGAAGGAAACAGAAGCTGATCATTAATATCATATTAAAAAAATAGTATAGAATGTTCACTGATGTAACATTAAACATAAAAACGGTAAGTAGTAAGTGTTATGTACATACTGGCAGACTCACCTATCCTCTTGTGATCTCTATAATCAGGTTCAGGTTCTAAGTACGGCTTTAATTCGTCATCTTCGTATCCCAAATTCATCCATTTATCTTTCATTATGTTCTAAAATAGTAATAAAAATTATTAGATTATATTTCTTTTAAATATGAACTTACGTGTCATTAAAATATACCACTTGTGAATACATTAATAAAATAATTAATACCTCACCTAATAAGGTAATAGAGTTTATACAATAAAATAGAGTTCATACAATTCGAATCTAATCTCCACGTACCTCTAGTGAGGCTCTTTTCGTTGGATTGAGCACCAAAAATTTCTTGAGAAGATTTTCACAGTCGGTGGACATATAAAATGGAATTCTATATTTCCCCCTTAATACCCTTTCTCTCAATTCTCTCAATGTCGAACCATCGAAAGGCAGTGAGCCGGACACCAATGTGTATAGAATTACACCTAACGACCATACATCCACTTCCGGACCATCGTATTTCTTTCCTGTAAATGGAAAAATTTTTAAGTAAATTTCAAGTTAACACGCAAATCCATATAAATCACTTCGAGGAAATACCTTGAAAAAGTTCCGGCGCGGCATACGGAGGTGAGCCACAAAATGTGTCTAACTTGTTACCGGGTGTAAATTCATTGCTAAAACCAAAATCGGCGATCTTGATATTCATTTCACTATCGAGCAACAAATTTTCGGCTTTTAAGTCTCTATGAATGATCTTCTTTTGATGGCAGTATTGCACAGCAGAAACGATCTGCCTAAACTTCGCTCTCGCTTCTTTTTCCTTCATCCGCCCATGCAGGACCAGATAATCAAAGACCTCGCCGCCACTGGCATATTCCATTACCAGGTACAGTGTCTTTTCAGTTTCGATCACTTGAAACAATTTCACTATGTTTGGATGGTCGAGCATCTTCATTATCCTGACTTCTCGGAACAACTGTAATTGACCAGATGTATCAGCATGAATCACACAGGTATTTACGTTTATGAGATACATGTATAATTTGAAGTTTTTTTCCTGTTAAATTATTATAATGCAATATGACTCACAAACAATAACAGTTTTTCTTGTAAAAATATTAGCATGCTAAATAAATCAATATAATTAAAAGAATGAAATTTGCATGTTATAGCAATCAATTTTAAATAACGGTTAATAGTATGTAACATACATTAAAACGGTTAATAGTATGTAATATACATTAAAACGATACAATTTATATTAGTTCTAACAATTTTCATTTTTACATCTATAATTCTGTTTTATTGAACTTATGTAAGAAAAGGAAATTATAAGAAAACATAAGATAATGACATTACCTTTTGAAGACTACCGGGATTCAATTGAGTTTTATCGATGATCTTGATGGCTACTTCCTTTCCCGTGGGTACATGCTTAGCAAGTTTCACCTTGGCAAAATTGCCTTTGCCAATGGTCTTCAGTAATTTGTACTTGCCGATATGAGGTTCCTCGGAGGTTCGACTCCTCGAGGAGAGCCGACCTCCGCTACTCGACACCCCTACGCCATCCCCCGTCTGTAACACAAAAAATCATGATCGATGAGCAAATAAAAATCAAGTAAATTACAGTTGCTGTCAAATCAATATATACAAAGAAATTCTCATTTCTGAATGAAAATCGCAAAAAGTAGCGAGTTGTTCAGACAAATGCGTAAATGTCAATTTTTTATTTGATAAAATTAATTACAAATAGAACAATCTCGATTTATTCATTTTCATTGGAATTTTATGATTGTAATATCAATTGTATATTTCAGAAATTGAAATCAAAGGCAGATATAGTTAATATTCTAGATAAAATTAGTAAAGACAATACACATACAACATATATGTTTTCTTTACTAGTTTAATATCTAAAATGTAATGTTATAATTATAGAATCCTAAGAAGAATAAATAAATTGAAATTATATATATAGTATATGTATAGTTTATTTTTTTCTTAATAAAAAAAGAAAGAACTAGTGGATATACAAATATAAATTAAAACTAAAATAATCGACATTACTGCACAAAATATGAACGAGAAACATTTAAATTAAATTAAAAGTTATTCATAGATTTACATATAATATAATGCATAATCTAAATAAATTCAATTTCGAAATTATTTTAAGCGCTATAAGTATACCGTGCGTGCTAATTTATTTCGAGAAACGGGAGAACGCCGTGCAAAGTTGCGTCGTAAATAGCCAACTATTTCAGAAACTTAGGTCGCATCTCCGAGCGCGGCGTTTAAAGTCATGGAATGAGGCACGAGAAATACGGGGCAAACGCTCGTTAAGAGCTCAGCGCACATTCCTCGAGAATGCCACATCGCGAGGAATATCGCGGATCTCTCTCCCTCCTCGCACAATATTTATTTATTTACGCATACATAGATGCCTGCGCGGTCGCACTTGACACTTCCAGGCACGGCGGCGGCCATTGTCAATGGAATTAATTAAAGCTCGTTAAAATACACCAGATACAGATTGTTCCGAGTGAAACACGCTGGACTTTCGTATTAATTGCGAGGACAACCGTTGCGTTACATGACGTTGCGCATACGATTTTTTTTACTTCTTTTCTCGCTATATCTCTAATATAAAAAAAAAAAAAAAAAGAGAGAAGAAAAGAAAAAAACGGCAGAATATCGATGTGACAAGCGTATTTATGAAGAAATCGAAGTATGCGTTATGCTCGCGCGACCAGTCAGATACGTGCCTTTGAATTGAAAGAGGCGTCAAGAATTTGAAATAAAAGCTGTACTTAGGTACGATAAAAATATATTATTAACGCGCAAATGTAACGTAGAGCAGAGGAAACAAAGAGTAATCAGGGCAGCAACTTAACAATTAATTTCGCAGGATTTAGGTATTACCCGCAGGAAGCCACGTGTGACCATCTTGCGCGAATTGGCGGTGGCCGCAACTTTAGAAGCCGCCAGTTTGACTGTTTGTAAATCCCAACTAGACAATCGATGGACGCCGGATCGACGACGGATCCGACGGTAAACCACTTCCTTGTGCTCGCATGCGCGCGATCTAAACCGTCAGTAGATTAGTTGTTCTGTCTGACTGCCGATAATACGAGAATGCACCGAAAAAATTCAACATGGCAGGATATAGATCGTGGAATTTAATACGCGAGCTGTTATATTACGCCCTTTGATCACTGTAGTGTTTATTTCACAATTCTCTCTTATTGTCTTTTTTTTTTAATCCTTTCTTTTATCAAAGAATAGGAACAACTTAATTCTCGATTCTTCTTCGATAACAAAGATCAACTGTGATCGCAGTTTCCGTGGTCGATCGTTTTGGAAGGTCGAGCGATGAGTCAACTCGCGAAGCGTATCGTCACGCTGGTGCATTTTACCAAAATACAAGCAGTGTCGTATAAAAACCACTACTGCATTTCAATGATAAACTGATTGTTATATCACCACCATCTGTCGTTAGGCAAACACTTTGATCTCCGACTGAAGAAACAAATAAGTACAATCGGCCGCTGACTTTGGGTATCTCGATTTAAAGGGCCACTTCTCTTTGAGTTCGAAATAACGTTTGAATTACGTTTCTCAAGTGATAAATCTCTTTGTTTTACCGCGCGCGAACCGTTTACAAAATACATGACGTAATTCAGCGAACATCAGTGCCCGATATATTTCATTAGGCACTCTTTGTACTGGTATTGACGATTGAACTGCAAATTGAATTCTCGAAGATGATATTTGTACTCGACTAGAGTAACTTGCATTGCATTGGATTTGTTGTTTGTAGAAAGCTTGCTCTCTTCCCGTAGAATTTAACTTTAATGAAAAAGTGGGCAATAGCTTTGGAAAAATTCTGTTTCAATAAAAATAACTTAGATGTAAATATATAAATCGCTTTTGATTTTTATCAATCGATTCTAAATACAATTGCAATCAAATCCAATTCATTTTCAACGAAGGCGTGTACGTTACTTTTCACACATGCACGTTATTTTTTCAGACGTCACTGCATGACTATACTAATCGCTATCTCATCAACCTTCGGTTAACGATAATGTGGCAAGACATCAGCGACACCATCTTTCACCAGCACAGTTCACATTTAACATCGATCCATCAACGATGATAGTTCACTGACAATTAATAAAAGTATAATCAAATTAGTGATGTATATTATCAAAATGTTTTCGTAGGTGATTATCGAAATCGTGTGAATCCGATAAGAGTTTCAATATCGTATTAGGTACCGCAGGATAAGTTCTTCAAGATACATCCACTTCCGTCAAGGGTCTTTGAGCTCTTATCAAAGGCAGATGCGATGTCACTGTTCGCAAATCTTCCTATGCCACAATTATCAAACACCGTCTTGTGTTCATAAGAGAAAGAAAGAAAGAGAAAGAGAGGAAGGAAGAGAGAGGAGTGATGAGACGAGAAGACCGATTGAGAAACGCGAGACAGTTGCTCTGGTCGTCGTCGACGCCGACGACGACCGTACGCGACTGCCTTTTCCCTTTTTCACCCTCGAAACGAACCACCCTCGGAGAAGAGACCACACAACTGAGGGATGCAAAGGCAGAATCAATACACGGCACCACCACCCCTCGGTGGAAACGTGCGAGAGAACCACCCTTGAATGCCTAGTCTCAACGTCGCCCTCCCTCGCCCTCCCTCCCCCCCCTCTCTCTCTCTCTCTCTCTTTCTGCCACCCCTTTCGATCGAAGAACGCATGCGTCGCAGAAAGTGGGAACCACTGACACACGTTTGTTCCGTGTTTTACTCTTTTAACTGAGGGTGCTGCTCGCAGTTGAGATAACAGAAGGTTTCAAGCTGGTCAGCTGATCGGACCGAATGTCGCAAAGCGCAAGCGTTAATGCGTCCTAAAGAAAATGAAATGTTTAACACACGCTATAAAAGAAATGACTTTTCCTTTATGATTATTAAACTTGTAAGAGAGATGGTTACGTACACTGTAAAAAGAATCTAGTAATAACTATCAAATGTTTTGAGTGAAATAATTTCAATCGAATGTTTCAGTGAAATAATGTCAATCAAATGTTTGGTTGTGATATAATCAAAAATAATTTTCTTTTCTTTTATACTTAGTAATTATTACTAAATATTCAGTTACATTATTATGTTTGATGATCTTATTGAATATTTGGGAAGAGAAAATTATTTCTGGTTATATTAACCAAACATTTGGATCGACATTAATTCACTCAACATTTGGTAGCTATTAGTATTATTATAATATTAGTACTTTGGAATAAAAAAAGAAATTGAAAAAACATAACACTATAACTTTTATAAGAAAAAGAAAACACTAAAAGTAGAAAAGATTGAGCTTCCTGCTCTCTATATCTACGAGAAGATATCGACAGCTCTAATTCCAAGATATCGATATGTACATACTCGTACATCCTGATGATGACGCACGCATCTGTGGGATGTAAAGAGTGGGATGCTACATCTTCACCTTTATCATCCTCCTACCTAGCAACGAGGCTTTTCGCCTCGTCAGCTGCTCGAATCAACTACCACTATGAACACCGAGAAGATTATCGGAACATAATCTAGCGCTATATATGAGATTGATAAATATGTTTAATGTCATTAAAAACGCCTACATTATTAACTTTGTTCAATTTTAATATTAAAAATATTAGAAAGTATTTCCAGAGTTTTTGGTTAAGGTTGCATTTATATATAGAAAAAAAAAAAAAAAATTAAAAAACAGACTTATAAAAAGATAAGACTTGCTATTATTAGCATCGTTCGAAATTATAACGACACTATAGACTTAAGAACCGCATGATACATGTGATAAAATAAGAATAAATCAAGACAGCATCAATTTCAATATTTTAAAAGGGGATTTTAAAAGGATAAATCACTCAAGTAATTAACTTACAATATTTTATTTTCGCGCTTGTAAGAGAGCATTGATTTCTTTTCTCGTCGGATACTTAGATGAGAATACTCGAGAGTTAATATGAAGAGGAGTAAAGTCGAAGTTTCTGAAAGAGGCAACAGAAAGAGAACGCGTTCAGTCAGCTGATCAATCGACTGAAAAAGTAACGATGAGTAAAGAGTCGCGGACATCCACTTCACGCAAAAGGAAGATAAGAATAGATCCAAGTTGACGCGAATTCTCTACAGAAAATAGAAACGCTTACACGTGAACTAGCAAATAAATAGTGAAGCTCTATTTCGATGTTCTATTAAACAAAAGAGACAGCAACTGATTTTCGGCTGCGTTCTCTTTTTTATTCTTACGCAAAAATAACTCAACACATTAAAATCTATCTAGATTAATAACACACTAATTATAATATGTTTTTTTGCAATTTTAAAGTTACTATCGTATCTCGTTAAGAGAAAAATAAATAAGTAAATATTGCGATCACTTTGAGAAAAAAACTTTTTGCAAAGAATTGATTATAAATGCTATTGTGAACAGCATTTTAATTGCAGTGAAAAATGCAATCGTTGCGTAAATCCTAGATTAATCAATCTTATTGGCATAGACTAATTAAATTTTA